GAGACCCATAGGGACCCACAGCAACCTATCGGAACCCATAGGTACCCACAGTGACTAGAGACCCATAGGGACCCATAGAGACACAGAGGAACCAATAGGGACCCACAGAGAGCCATAGAAACCCATAGGAAGCCACAGGGACCCATAGGGATCCATAGGAACCCACAGGGACCCATGGAGAGCCATAGGGACCCATAGGAACCCCTAGAGAGCCATAGGAACCCATAGAGACCCATAGGGAACCATAGAGATCCATAGGGACCCATAGAGAGCCATAGGAAGCCATAGAGACCCATAGAGACCCACAGCAACCTATAGGAACTCATAGGGACCCATGGAGAGCCATAGGAACCCACAAGAACCCATAGAGACCCATAGGGACCCATAGGGACCCACAGCGACCCATAGGAACCCATAGGAAGCCACAGGGACCCATAGGGACCCCATAGAGATCCATAGAGACCCACAGGGACCCACAGTGACCCATAGAGAGCCATAGGAAGCCACAGTGACCCATAGGAACCTATAGAGAGCTATAGGGAACCATAGGGACCCATAGAGAGTCATAGGGAACCATAGGGGTGCATAGAGACCCATAGGGACCCACAGCAACCTATAGGAACTCATAGGTACCCATGGAGAGCCATAGGGACCCATAGGGTCACACATAGGGATGCATAGAGACCCATAGGGACCCACAGCAACCTATAGGAACCCATAGGGATCCACAGGGACCCATAGAGATCCACAGGGACCCATAGGAACCCATAGAGACACATAGGGATCCATAGAGAGCCATAGGGACCCATGGGAACCCACAGCGACCCATAGGAAGCCATAGGGACCCCTAGAGACCCATAGGAACCCATAGGGACCCACAGAGACCCATAGGGACCCATGGGAACCCACAGTGACCTACAGGAAGCCGACCCATAGAGACCCACAGCGACCCATAGGGACCACAGTATCCACAGGGACCCACAGTGACCCATAGAGAGCCATAGGAAGCTACAGCGACCCATAGGGACCGTAGGGACCCATAGAGATCCATAGGGACCCACAGCGACCCATAGGGACCCATAGGAACCCATAGGAAGCCACAGGGACCCATAGGGACCCCATAGAGATCCATAGAGACCCACAGGGACCCATAGAAACCCATAGAGATCCATAGGAACCCACACCTACCCATAGGGACCTATAGGGACCCATAGAGACCCATAGGGTCACACATAGGGACCCATAGAGAGCCATAGGAACCCCATAGAGACCCATAGGGACCTATAGGAACCCACAGTGACCCATAGAGATCCATAGGGACCCATAGGAACCCATAGAGACCTACAGGAACCCATAGGGACCCATAAAGAGCCATAGGAACCCATAGAGACCCATAGGGAACCATAGATACCTATAGAAACCCATAGAGAGCCATAGGGACCCATAGAGAGCCATAGGAAGCCACAAGGACCCATAGGGACCCATAGAGACTCACAGGCACCCATAAAGAGCCATAGGAACCCATAGAGATCCACAGGGACCCATAGAGACCCACAGCAACCCATAGGGACCCATGGGAACCCACAGCGACCCATAGGGATGCATAGAGACCCATGGGAACCCATAGAGACACATAGGGACCCACAGTGACCCATAGGGACCCATAGAGACCCACAGCAACCCATAGGGACCCATGGGAACCCACAGCGACCCATAGGGATGCATAGAGACCCATAGGAACCCACAGTGACCCATAGGAACCCATAGAGAGCCATAGGGACCCATAGAGACCCATAGGAAGCCACAGGGACCCATAGGGACCCACAAGAACCCATAGGAAGTGATAGGGACCATGGGAACCCACAGCTACCCATAGAGACCCATAGGAAGCCACAGGGACCCATAGGGACCCACAAGAACCCATAGGAAGTGATAGGGACCATGGGAACCCACAGCTACCCATAGAGACCCATAGGAAGCCATAGGAACCCATAGAGACCCAACCCGCTGTGCCCCATGGCACCCCATAGCACCCCGCTGTGCCCCACAGCACCCCATAGCTCCCCACTGTGCCCCACAGCTCCCCACTGTGCCCCATAGCGCACCATCGCAACCCGTAGCACCCCATAGCACCTTACTGTGCCCCATAGTGCCCCGTAGCACTCCGCTGTGCCCCATAGCGCCTCGTTGCTCCCCATAGCACTTCGCTGCGCCCCATTGTGCCCCATAGCACCCGCTGTGCCCCATAGCAACCCATAGTGCCCCACTGATCCCCGCAGCAACCCATAGCGCCCCATTGTGCCCCATAGCACTCCGCTGTGCCCCATAGCAACCCATAGCGCCCCATTGTGCCCCATAGCGACCAATAGCACCCTGCTGTGCCCCACAGCACCCCACCGATCCCCATAGAAACCCATAGTGCCCCACTGCACCCCACTGTGCCCCACAGCGCCCCATAGCAGCCCCATAGTGCCGCACTGATCCCCATAGCACCCCGCTGCACCCCATAGTGCCCCATAGCACCCCGCTGCACCCCATAGCACCCCATTGTGCCCCATAGTGCCCCACTGCACCCCATTGTGCCCCATAGCAACCTGCTGTGCCCCATAGCGTCCCACTGATCCCCATAGCACCCCGCTGTGCCCTATAGCGCCCCATAGCAGCCCCATAGCACCCCACTGATCCCCACAGCGCCCCACAGACCCTCCTGGCACCCTCCGGAGGTGGCACCTTGACTGTTCACCCCACCCCGCACCCATGGGTGCTGCCCCACACCTTGGCACCCCCTGGGTGGGTGGGTG